TATGAGGGTCCATTTTCATAACCAAGTTTTCGGGAAACGGCAAAAAAAAAATTTCTTTTTTTTCTCCCTATCCCGGTTTGAGTAAAAGTGTTTAGGTCACCATTTTTTATAATAGTGAATATTTTTGAAATACACATTAGGAATGAAAACTTAGATGAATAGCTGCCACCCCGACTTCAACCCCGTTCCCAAATATGGGTCAAACTCTTATTATCACTCCATTCCCATCACCTTCCTATGTCATAATGGCTCACGTATTCAACCGCCATTATTTTCACTCAACTGCAATTTTTTGTTCACATTACATTGTGGGTCTGCCGTTATCCCTCTTTACCCGCATCACCACAATAGAGAGATAGAATAATATACTTTCATTTTGGTCAGCAACGGCCATTGCAAGGCAAGTTGACTAATATTATCATCACAATCCTTTCCCAACTCCATGGGATCGGCTGCCACACAGACAATAATAAAGTACACGATAAGGTTTGGGTCAATTGCTTCATGTGGGTTGGACCGCATTTGTACAAAATGTCGCCTAGAGATATAAAGCATTCCTAGGTGGGCAATCTGAAGACAATAGTAACTAACTGCCCATATATTTTCTTAATATAATTTTTATTTTTAATTTTAAAAATTTATTTATTTTTTCATATTCATGATCTCTATGTTAAAGACCATATATTCTCTAAATATTAGGATCACATAAAAATATATTCTCTATGTTAAAGACCATATGTTTCTACTATAAGCGGGCTGGCCGAATGCCAACCACATCATATATATTCATTACAATATACATCTTCCATATTAATGTAGTAGACAATATATACTTTCCTTTCACACGAGGAAGAATGCTCGCATGTCTTGAGCCCGTTTGGTTCTTTGGATTTAGATTTTTAGGAGTCATTTTTCTTGGAAAAAGTTGGGCCAATCATGTTTGGTTCGCTTAGAATTGACATTTCAGTTGGAATTGAGATTTTCATTGGATGCGTGAATGCTCATTTTAAGCCTAACCTTTGGAAATCTCAATTCCACAAAAATAGGTGGAATTGACATTCATAGAAATGACCTATTTTGTTGTTGAAAAACAAAAAACATATTAAAAATTTATAGAGAGAAACAATATCAAATTCTAGAGAGAGAAAACATAATAAAATTTTAGAGATAGAAACTATATCAAATTTTAGAGAGACAAATATACAAAAAAATTTAGATAGAGAAAATATATGAATTTTTTTAGAGAGATGAGCTATCTCAAATTTTTAGAAAGAATAACTATCTTAAATTTAAAGTTTTAAAGAGACCAAATTAAAGTTTTAGAGAGAGAAACTATCTCAAATCTTAAGTTTTAGAGAGAGAAAATATCTTAAAATTTTAGAGAGAGAAACTACATTAAATTTTAGAGAGAGGAACTACTTAAAATTTTTTAAAGAGAGAAATTATCTAAAATTTTAAATTTTAGAGAGAGAGCATACTAAAATTTTAGAGATTATAAATTTTATCAAATTTTAGATCGAGAAACTACCTAAAACTTTTTAAAGGGAGAAACTATATCAAATTTTAAGTTTTAGAGGGAGAAATTATCTTAAAACTTTAGAGAGATAAACTATATCAAATTTTAGATAGAGAAAGTACCTAAAATTTTTAGAGAGAGAAACTATTTAAAAAAATTTAGATAGAGAAACTCTTAAATTTTAAGTTTTTGAGAGAGAGAGAGAGTATAATAAAAATTTAGAGAAAGAAACTAGAAAATTTTGGAGAGAAATTATCTCCAATTTTAAGTTTTAAAGAGAGAATATATCTTAAAACTTTAGAGAGAAATTATATCAAATTTTTGATGGAGAAAGTACCTGAACTTTTAGAGAGAGAAACTATTTGAAAATTTTAGAAAGAGAAACTATCACAAAATTTAAGTTTTAGATAGAGAAAGCATCTTAAAATTTTAGAGAGAGTAACTATATCAAATTTTAGATTGAGAAAGTACCTAAAGTTTTTTAGAGAGAGAAACAATCTTATAATTTTTAGAAAGAAATTATATCGAATTTTAAGTTTTAGATAGAGACTATACCTTAAAATTTTATAGAGATAAACTATATCATATTTTAGAGAGAGAAACTACTTGAAATTGTCTAGAGATAAATTATTTTAAAATTTTTATAAAGAAAAACTATCTTAAATTTTAAGTTTTAAAGAGAGAAAGTATATCAAAATTTTAGAGAGAAACTATATCAAATTTTAGAGAGAGAGAAAGTATATAAATTTTTTAGAGAGAAAAACTATCTCAAAATTTTAGAGAGAGACTATTTCAAATTTTAAGCTTTTGAAAGAGAGTGCATTAAAAATTTTGAAAAATATTTAGAGAGAGAAATTATCTCAAAATTTTGAAAGAAAGAGAGGATTTTTTTTTTCAAAAAAAGATAATCCAACCAATCTAAATAAAAAATTTGTATTTTTTTTATTTCTACCCGATGATGCTGTACAAACGGCATAACACAGATTTCAGAAAATTTAATTCTAATAAATCTCAATTCCAAGATTGATTTTTTCCGTGATTGAAAAATTCAGGATCCAAAGAAGTCAATCGAGCGCTGAAAGGGCAACATGAAAGGGCAACATGGACCGTGTGTCATAAACCGACTATGGTACATACTTTGTACCGCTGAACTCATCCGATGTGACCCCATTTTATTCCCCAAAATATAAAAAGATTTCAGCCACGCAATACCCCTTTGAATTGAACTTAAAAATAGAATTAGAGTGAATTACGTAGACACAAAAAAAAAAAACTCAAATACAAAATGAGTCAACTTTGGGTTAAAATTATGCAAAACGTTGGTCAACCTAAGTTTTTTTATTTTTCAAAATTATATTTCGGTCCAAATGCAAAACGGTATTTTATTTTTTGAGTTTTTTTTCGATAGTAGGGTTGTGCCCTAATGTCTAGGGTAGTGCCTAGTCGATCCGATATTGGCATCTTCGAATCGGCCTGATATTGGCATCCTCAGGCTGACTTTGTTCAACATTCAAGGGGGGTCCAAGTTACCCATTCTCATATCGCCTTCTCTGGTGTTCTTCAGGGTGATCCGAAGTTGGCATCCTTGAACTGCATTAGCTCATTTGTTTGTTAAGAAATAAGACAGGTCCAAGAATGCCAACTTCCGATTGCCTTTTGGATTGAGTCCCTAACACTAAGGTACTATCTTCCTAAAAAAAACGGTTTGAAGATGACATCTTCATGCTAAAGAACAATTTTGAGAGAAAAAAAAAACAAAACACACTGGTTAACCAACCTTCCACATAAAATAATATTCACCCAAAATTAACTTTATATATTATTTTTTATTATTATTATTTTGATGGAAGTCGATTGAGTAATGGAGTAGGAGGTTAACTTGACCATGCTACATACTTTGTACCGTGGAAATTCATCCAAGGTGACCCATTTTAATCCCCAAAACGCAAACACATTCCATCCACGCAATGCCCCATTTAATTTATTTAAATAATTATAGAGAGGTCAGGAGAAAATTCATATATCCTTACCAAGAATTTAAGGGACTCTAACAAATCACCCCAAGGCCCCTATTTTCCAATTCTAAGAAAAATTGAAAACCTTATCAACCTCTCATGGTGACACGTGTCACCCCCATGTGCCTGCCAAAGTTGTGGCTCAGTTTTGATATTAGCATTTTTTTTTTTTTTTTGTGAGAATGTATTTGAAATTTGCAAGGAAAAATTTATATGATGATACCTTAATGTAAAATGAAGATTCACCTCTAGATGCACCCACCATCTTTCTAAATGCACACCCACACGTCTTACATCTATTGGCTAGGAACCCTCTAACCCTCGTATGGTTTCTAGAGCCATCTACACAATACATCCTTCAAGATATGTTTAGGAGCCCACTAGAGTACTCAGGGATGTCCTAGAATTCTCTAGAACTTTCCGGGGCCAAGTGACACAAAAAGAAAAGAGGCCTATGTACATAGTGTGCCAGGCATGGCTAGCTCAAGACAGCAAAATCTTCGGAGCGTGGCACGAGGCTCTAAATAATCAAATTAGAACCTATTTTTAAAATTTCATTAGAAGAGTTTGTTTTGATAACCAAATATCTTGAAATTGTCATCTCGACATCAAAATGCATGGACATAAAAAAAAAAAATGGATTTCAAGTTTTTAGAAATAGTGCATCTTGTAATACATTTTAGTAAATAGTGCATCTTGTAATACATTTTAGTTTTTAAAATAGTGCATCTTGTAATACATTTATAGACAGTCGATTTTCAAAATTTTCAAATTTTTATAAATCTAGACAATCTACGCTATTTTTAAAACTTTAAATTTTATAATTAAAAATAAAAATATATTTTAAACCTATCACAAATATTGTGGTAATGAAAACCATATTTCTCAACATTATTTGAAGGTGCCCTTTATTTGATTGTTTAGACTTTAGAGCCTTGGCTCTATACAAACCGCACCCAAACCTAATGAGACATGGGTGGTGCTAGCAAACCCTATCTCTACATAGCAATCCCCAACCCCGAAAAGTCAAATCTTATCTTAAGCGGAACGCATGAATCATATCATCATTTTATCCCAAATATTTGTTTTGAGTCAAATCCATTTTCTAAGTTTTTATCATAAAATTTAACTTTAGCCTTCTAGTACAGAGTTAAAGCAAACAAATGAACAAAAAAATAGAAAAATTATCATCAACCACACAAGCCGTATTCTAACTATTTGATATTTGCTGCTCTAATCTTGTTCTACTATTCGAGATATTCCAACTTTTTTAGAATGGCTGCACAATCTTGTTCTACTATTTGAGATTCACTGTGCGAATCTTGTTTTACTATTTGATATTGGCTATATGGATCTTCTTCTATCGTTCTGTTCCATCAAACGTAGTACCCTCATAGACGTAACTCAATAATAAAAAAAGAAAATTATCAGCAATAATAAGGAAGAAACGTAAAGGAAGATCACGAATAAAAACCCAAACGCGAGCAAGAAACCACTAGTGAGGAAAAAAGATTAAATTATTTTCCATTTCTTTACAATGAGAAGGCTCAAACTCTAACCTCAGGGATCTCGTTATTGAGCCTTCAAACCAGCCTGAAAGTACAATCAGGCGATGCTCTTCTTTCCTGGTTGATCAGCAACTTCTAGGGTTTTTTCTATGAGCTTTCTCGCTCTTCTGCTCTTAATCTCAACCTTAACACTCGAACTCTTGTCCATCTTTATATAGGGCTTCTTTTTCTTACCTTTCAAATTAAGAGACCTCATCTTCGACTTGATCGTTTCCACTAAGCTTTCGAGGTGGTTCGCCATTAACAAAGGCTCTGAGAACCAGAGAAATGAAACCTTAATCCACAAAAACCCTACTTAAAAAATGGACGGTCCAGATTCGCATTTCTAGGGAAAACAGAGGATCTAAGCCGTCGAGTCCCCGCAAAACCTTGCGAGAGGTGCACTACTTCGCCAGGGGAGGAAAGGCCGCTGTATTTAACTGTGTCGACTGGTAACCTAACCGTGGTTACATTTTAACCACGTTTTAAGTGGGATGAAATCTGGACCGTCAAATGTGGACCGTTGGATTATGGAGTCAATGTAGTGTGCAGTCAATAGTGGGGAGTTAAGGACATCAAGAGGTGCATGTGTTGCTGGCGGTTGGGATGTCAGAAAATAGGGGCTAATTTGGCTCGGTGCAATGACTAATATTTAGCTTGAGATTGTGCTCCAAAATTAGAAAATGTATTTAAGGAGACTATTTATTTTTAATATATAAGGTCAAAATAATCACTGACCTTTAGATTTTAAATTGGGTTGTTGAGGATGTTTAATTATTTAAGCACAAACTCCAAAATAAATTTTTTTAAATGTTTTAACACACTTTCATCTATTGAATATTACATCTAAAGGTTAAAATAATTGTAATCTCATTGTACTTAATGATTTTATAATATACAATCTCCAAAATTAAATTAACCCCTTCTTCTAGATTAGCAAAGATATTACCATTTCGAGTAAGTAAAATATCAAACTACCCTCTATTTTTTTCATTAGGCCATTGGGGATTATGGGCCCCTACCCGTTTTGGAAATGATCATTGGCCTAATAGATTTTAAATTGAATAGTTGATGATGTGTCATATTTGGGTACAAACTCTCAAATATAATATCTAGTTGTGGGATATCACATTTAAAAGCTAAAAATGATTGTAACCTCATTATCAAATGATTTTATAAAGTACAATCCCCCAAAATTAAATAAACCACATCTTCTACATTAATAGCAAAGATACCAATACTTGAGTAAAGTAAAATGTCCAAAAGATTTTTAATTGGGTGGTTGAGGATTTGTCATGGTTTGAGCCAAAATTAAATAAACCTTATCTTCTACATTAGTAGCAAAGATGAAGTAAAATATCCAAAAGATTTTAAATTGAGTGCTTGAGTATTTGTCAGGGTTCAAACTCCAAAATAAAATTTTTCAAATGTTTTAATATATTTTTATATTGGATATTACATTTAAGGGCTAAACATGATTGTCATTTCATTGTATCAAATGATTTTATTACCTACAATCCCCCAAAATTAAATTAACCCCATAAATAAAATATCCAAACTACCCTCTGTTTTTTTTTCATTAAGCCGGGGATTATAGGCCCCTACCCCTTTTGGAAAGGATCAATTCGAAATAGTGAGAATGGAGGCCATGACTTTGAATTGAGACTCGGGCATTACTACCACCATAACCTCATCTCTATTCTCAATATCCAAAATACCCATGATATTTGAGGCTTATCACCGTACCTTTATGCAGATTTTTAAACAATTTATACATATATTCTCAATATTTTTTGTTAATTAAATTTTAATTAAAATTTTTCGTTACTATGTTCACACCTCCTTTTTTTTTTTATATGACCAAATTGCCTATATTTCGAACGTGAACATAACTTTTTTTATATGACCAAATTGCCTATATTTCGAATCTTCAAGACTCCGAAAATAAAAAATTTAAAAACTAAGTTATATTTTAAAATTTTGAAACTTGAGAAACCAAAATCAAGTGTATCTAAAATTTATTGAATTTGTATGATTTTTGGATTTTTGAATATCTAAAATACAATATTCAGATATTTAATATTCTAAACTTATTCTTTTCCAAAATTATAAAAACTTCGGATTTTCAAAATCTAAAATAAAAATACTTCTTTAATAACGTAGTTAAAAGGCCATCCAATAGCCAAACTTTTCAATTTTACATTTCGGACTTACAAGGTCTGAAATAAGGGTAGTTTTGGAATAAATTGAAAAGTCTGGGCTCGAACATCGTCGATAGAAGGAAGTTATCAGTGGAAGGTATCATAAGGATATCAGGGTGTGTGTCTTTTTAATTGGAAATTTATAGGATAATTATCGGGACTTTAATAAGTATAGTTATTATATATTAAGAAATAAGTTTTTATAGAGATTAATAAATATAAATTATAAATTATACAATGGATAATATGTTGATAATTTTACAAATGACAAAGCTGAAAATAATTTCCATGTAAAAATCACAATATCAAAACTCGTTATCTAGCTTAATACGTTCAACTTATAATCGTTATGTACCTTAGTATAAAGATAAATGGCCTCATAGTATACATTCCCTAGCGCCATTTGAATGTAAATGAAATGTTGTTTTTCACATTCAAATTATTAATCTTGCTTTAGTATTGTACACATGTTATTATTGGGATTTTTTTTCATATTACAGGATACCTTGAAATGTTTTGACACTTTCATTTCACCGGGACAATATCAAAATAATTATGGACAGTAGAATTCATCTTGAATATCATCATCATCATCAGAGCATCTTCTCAACTATTTAAGGTCGGCTAAATGAATCTTGGTCCGCCATTCATTCTGCTCTCCATATCTTTTATCCTCCTCTCCTGAAACCGTCATGTATGAGAGAAAGGATAACTTTAGAGAGAGATAGAGAGGAGGGAGGGAGAGAGAAAGCTTGGGGATGCCTTTGGACTAATGCTGCATGAACCAGCCATGGAAACTGGCCCTGCACCGGGTCCAGGTAACCAGCCACAGTCAAGAAGGTACTACCTAGGCAAAAAATGTGCAAAAAAAATAAAAAAATAATAAAACACATCTAAATGAGGTTAAAATAGTAAAAAAACTAGAATTTGAAAAAACAGTTTGTGACATAAGGTATTTTTGAAATAATCCAAAAATAGGCAAAATGTAAAAATAAGTATTTTCTAGCCAACGTACTTGCTAATAGATCTCCATTTCTCTTCTTTTTTTTGAATTTTTTATGGTTTGTTTTGATTTTTTTTTTTTAAGACTCACATTGGACACCCAACTTGGGGATGGAAAACCTGAGTTACTCAGCTAAGTCTGAGCAAACTCGCCTGATAAGTGAAACACTGCTTTGGACACTTAAAATTCCAAAAAATGAAAATAGTCCATTTCCTCCTAGAAGGGCAATAAGAAATTTAAAGAAAAAGTTAAGGGCCATACAGAATTAAACACCATGTTATTAAATACTTAAACTCATCTTAGAAATTTTGTATTTCTTATGACTTTGGCAGTTACGATCTCCCCTTAAGATATAGCCTAGCCTTCCCCAGCCATATCTTCCCCAATTATCCTGGTGGGACAATAAATAAAAATCTGAACCTTTGTGGTGAAGCATTTGAAAATTCCACATCACGTACTTGTTTATGCAACTAACCCAAAGACTAACCAAATAAAACTCCCCACTCTAACTTTTGAGAAAGAGAATAAGGGCACGTCCATATTTTCCGGGAAATATTTGTTAGCATATGGATATCTCATGGTAGTATTGATATCATCATTACTAAGAGTCGGATTTAGTGGTGGGTTTCAGATCCGGCATCAGAGGAGAGTCCGACAACAAAAGTGTTATGTGGCAGTTGCAAAGCACCAAAAAAGAAAATACAAAACCTTTGAAACACTGCCATCATTAGCTAGCACAGATCCAAACAACTTGCTCCTACGAGGACCAAGAACTTCCTGAAATAGTACTCCTCAAATTGCCCTGAACGGCTATGGCTAATGCATTGCTTATTTCGAGCAGATCACCACAACTCTTTCTATTCGGCTATCTCCGGGAAATATTAGAAAGACCCTATATTAATTCTTCTCTGATTTTTATTTATATAACTTAAATTCTCTATCACTTTTATTTATGCAAATTGAATTATTTTTAATCATTTTTGTTTTAATTTGTGCCAAATGGATATTTAATGAAATATTTTCAAAATAATATATCAAATTTATAATTATTTGATACAATATTCAATTTTAAAGATAAATTCCTTCATTTTTAAATTTCAGTCTCCATGTAATCTTATTTTATCACAAATAGTATCTAGCTTATTTATTTATTTTATGGTTTAAAAAAAATATAATTATGTAATAAAAGTATTCAATTATGAAGATAAATTCAATAATATCTAAAACCATATTTTATTTAAAATATTTTTTTAATGATAAAAATATTTTAGATAGAGAGAGACGAAAGACACATGAGAGAGAGAGAGAGGGCTCTGGTTTTCTCGGAGCAGAGGGCTTTTAGAGAGAGAGGGCTGTGGTTCTCTCGTAGAGGGATGGGGCTTTTAGATAGAGAAAGAGACAAAGGGCCACAGGAGAGAGAGTGAGAGAGGGCTCTGGTTTTCTCATAGAGGATAGGCTTTTAGAGAGAGAGAGAGAGGAGAGTCATGGGGGAGAGAGAGGCCTCTATTTCGGGTATGCTGTATTTGATGACTGCATGAAAAATATTTCCACACCTCATGAGGTGTGGTTTTATTTTACCACGTATTGGCTTTTTCATGATAAAATATTTTATTTTACCATGGTACAATATTTTCATAGGCATTTGGAACGAACCAAACGTGTGAAATGCAATTTGTGCGAATCAAACGTACCCTAAGGAAAAGGTCACCATCTTTGGAATTCTATTGAGGATGGCAAGGAAATTTCTGATTTGATTACGATCGTTTTATGATTATTTAATGTAAACCGCAATCAATCATATACGTGAATCTTTTCAGTGGTCAAGAATAGATATGGTTTATAAGCAATAATTTAGACTGCATTAGACTAATATTTAGCTAGTTTGATTAGATCTAATCGGAGTTGAATATTCAACTAGTAAATTTAGAACAAAGTTCTTAATTTATATGGTTTATAAGCAATAATTTAGACTGCATTAGACTAATATTTAGCTAGTTTGATTAGATCTAATCGGAGTTGAATATTCAACTAGTAAATTTAGAACAAAGTTTTTAATTTATATGGTTTATAAGCAATAATTTAGACTGCATTAGACTAATATTTAGCTAGTTTGATTAGATCTAATCGGAGTTGAATATTCAACTAGTAAATTTAGAACAAAGTTTTTAATTTATACGGGGTGCCTACCTTATACTATATAAGTAACATACGTCTCAATATTTTATAAGAGAATGTAGTTTTGATGTCGGAAACAGCTTGAAAATCCATATTCAACACTAATTACAAATTTTTAAATTCCGAAAAAGATTTGGATCAAACAAATCTAGAAACCCGTAAAAATCTTAAAAATAGATTGTCCTTGTTACTTTTTACAAGATGCATTGATTTTAAGACTTGACTTTTTTTCCCTCTATATCTATACATCTCGAGATTGGGATGATTACAAGGTTTCCAACTTCGGAAGACTCTTTCTACTTGATTTTTAATGTGCACCTTACTTCTATAGTATAAGGTTGCAACCTTATATACATGTTTTTCCTTTTTGAAAGATGGAGGCCTGGACTTTACATAAAAAAAGAGCACCTTAAATACCACGGAAAAATGTAGTTCGAAAAATGGTATGATTGCTTTGAAATCTTTTTTATTTCTTGAAAACGGATGTCGTAAATAATGTCTCACAAAATGGAACCGAAAATCTTATTTTTAGATCCATAATTCGCAAAGTTGAGAAGATCAAATTGAGGGCACCATAACTGCACTTTCCGGCATGGTTTGGAGGTTTGGTTTTACTTTAGGAAATGGTGTGATAGCTGCATCCCTATAAAATAAATAAAGCCTCACCTCATAACACATCGAGAACTGCAATTCAAGCAATAGAAATCCTTTACATTAACCAGCTCAACTTGAACATTATGGTTTAAAAAAAAAAAATTAAGATTTTAAGCTCTAAAAATAGTGTATATTATAAAGAATATATAGGCCATCACTTTCGCCTTAAAAATAAGTGCTCATAGATCCACAAGATCTGTAACTTTTTTTAAATTCAAATTTTATTATCAATATTGGAAATTGATTTTAAAGCCATAATAGAGATTCCCACTACTGAAAGTGCTTTTCAATTGAGGATTTGGGGTGAGGCTTTTTTTCGTTTTCATAAAGCATACCCCTTATAAAACTTCATCCTCTACTTTACGCATGGGCATATAAACTTTTTCCTATATTTCCCTTAAATTTCTATAAGCTATTATAAATGTATGAGCATTTGACCGTAACAGCAACTGTCACAAAATGACAAAACAACGGGCAACAGTTTGAAAACAACACCACTAGAAGGATAATGGCTATTGACAATTATAACAGGTCATTAAGATTGTGATAAATTGGGTAAAAAAAATGACCGAATTTGTGGCCAAAATATAGACATAATGTCGCAACGAGGCAATGTCCACCCAACTCTGGTTGTTTTCCAACTGAATTAGGTGTGCTAACTTAAACTTGGGATAATTTATAACAGAAATTGAGTACGTTACTATTAACCATCATAAAGGGATCAAAACAGCGAGTTATTTTTTCTGGATTGGAAAAGGTCAGCCCCAAAACATTGTGAAAGTGGCTAGCCCATGCTACCAAACTTGGCGGCTGTTCAAGCTAGAGAGGTCCAAGATTTTCAAACGGATTTATCGCACAAACTCTGGCAAATCAATGTTCAGAGCAAATATGACAGCAATTTTTGAAGTACCTAATTTCCACCAACTTTTAGTGATATTTAACTGGGTAGGCCATAACAATGTTTTTCCAAAAGTTCGAAAGTTCAGGTAAAAATGCTGTTCTTGTTTGGGACCTAGCACTTAAAAAACCAATCTCCAAGTGCCCAATGGTCAAATTTTGTGGCACTTGAAACCAATGTGACCTTTAAAACTTTTTCTACCATTGCCGCATCAAAATTCAAGTATAGATACACGCTATGCTATCTGAATTCCAAAAACCATTACTTCAAGCATGATTTGTAGAAGTTGGCCTCTTGAGAGTTGGGGAGTTGGGAATCAGACCAGAGCATGAGAGTGGCTAGTAGGGCCATGGTTGCGGTCTCAACACGAAGACGACATGGTCCAAGTCCAACTGGGGTAGCCCTAGCTTCAATGAGCAGTGTCCCCTCTTTATCAGTGAAATCTGAAATTTCCAGTAGAGAACATTACCCTTTGTCAGGAATCTCTCTCTCTCACACACACACACATGCACAACACATAAATATCTTGAGATTTTACATGTAGGGTTTTAAAACTACCCACATCATCTAAAAGCTCCATCTTGAAATCTTATGACACATGCCTGTAAGATGATGATCTGTGATGATTGAGACTTGAAATGATTTTTTTATCACAATTCTTTTGTTGAACTGTCAATTTGTATTACCGGTTGAAAAATGATTATCCTATCTAATTTACCATCGATCTTAACTTTTTTGTTATAATCAAATACAAATCAAGGATGGCTAGGAAAATGACTATTTTACTCTTTTCTATTCAAGGGAACATATACTGTATGCTCCCTCTCTTTTCTATTCGAGGGAACATATACTGTATGCTCCCTCTCTTTTTTATTCAAGGGAACATATATTGTATACTCCCTCAATATAGCATAGTTTACTTCTACTCCTTTGGTCAAAAGGCCTACTTGGGAGGATTTTTTTGATCTGAAATTTTGGAAACCACTTAAGAATTACTAAGAGATTATTCTCAAAAAAAATAAATTGAAAATTGAGTTTTCCAAAAGTTAGATCTCACCATCTGAAAATTGATTCTCTATTCAATCTCGAGAATTACTTTTTTTCAAGTGCATAGAGGGTACAATTAGGAAATTTTCTTTGTTATTGAGCTAATCTATGGATTGAAGACGTTACATCCCCAAAATTTGATCTAAAATTAATTCTAGGTGGGATTTTACCTGAGGGAGTAAGTGAAAATTCTATGCCAACAGGAGTAGAATATCTTTTGGCTTTATTCAAAATGAGGGAGAAACATACAAATGGCAAAGAAAAAAGGAGTTCATCACAAAATGGGGTATATAATTATTTTGAATCCTGTGGCATCTTACTCAACTTTATAAGTAACATCTGCCATAAATCCCCAAGATGTGCTCTTAGATGTGAGAATGTATGTAGTTTAATATCCCTTCGTGTAAGAATCCTAAATATCCTAATCACTTGACCAAAACATAATGTAATATGAATCAACGTGGAATTGAATGCTATGTCTCATCATTGCATAGATTCAAAATTTTAAAATTATGAGCAGTTCTAGATATTGACAAACTGGTCACAACTGAAAGTGTGGATGTATGCTATTTTACATCCCATCATGAAAATCCCAAATATCTTAAAGCTATCGCATAGCTCCATGGGTATAACTAAGTGATGCAGGGAGAAAATAAAACCAGAAAATAAAAAAAAAAGGTTGAGAGAATATACCCTCTCTCAAAGGTCTGCGAGGGAATCCATCCCAAAATAATCAACCAGATTTTATTAACTCATTCACCACTTTACAATGAAGGGAAATCTCCCTTTAAATAGACTAAAAAACGAAGAAGATAAATGACTGACTTTCTTTCTTATTTTATCTCCCTTAACCTATTTCCTCGATCATCCCTATCTTCTCTTTTAACCATCACGTACCAAAAAGATAAATACTCCACGTTTTATCCCAAACCTGAAAGCATGCCTATTGTTGAAAAGATAAAACTTCCTTTAGATTTAACCTTATCCTATTTACATTCCTAAACTAACCAAATTGTTTAGAAACTAAAAAACCACATTCACCAATAATACATCACGCATAAAATCTTTCCCATTCACCAATAATACATCACGCACGAAATCTTCCCTCCTCCCAAATTAACTTGACTTATCCTAGGACAATTTCTATTAAAAAAATAAAATAAAAATTAAACCCCCATTTTATTTGCATCACTAAGTCAACTAATTACAGGTCATATGGATTAATGTAGGGTTCGACTGCACGCCCTTTCACTAAACTGATTCGAAAATTTAAATATAAGCATCCCTGGATATTGAGAAAACCAGCTCCAAACTAGCAGCTGGTTTTGGGTGATCTGGTAACCGGCTGGTTGGATAGCTCAACCAACCAGTTCAAGGGGAGCTATGACTACTCAGAATTGAGGACTTAACCAGACCATCTAAGTGCAGTCCAACCATACCAGTTCACAAAAGAGTTGGTCTAGAGTAAAAGTGGTAAAGCTCAGGAGTCTAAGAATGGGTAGGCTGCTCTGGAGCTGGAACCTAAAGTTGGGTGTCAGTGGTCGGGAAGAGATCAGTGACCAGTGTGGACACTCCCATACTGTATTAATTGATGGGTCATTCATGAGTGAGGGAAAAATAGTATATCTTTTTCAAGTATGTGCAGTAGATAAAACACTGTTTTTAAGTAAACGGAACAGACAGGGCTCACCCATGACTAGGGGGAGCAAACAAAACTGTCCTAAAAGAATTTTAAGTGAGGCAGATAAATTAACTTGCTTATAAAGAAGTAGACCATCCAACTGATAAAGAGAAGTCCTCAAACGGGAGAAAAGCTAGCTTTATATTCTGTCACATTATACCACAGATCAAGGACGCAAACATGGAGACTGTTTCCAAAGCATGAGTAATGATCAGGAGAGAGGGAATCCTATCCATTGGGGACAATCTTTTGCTCCAACAAGATCTGACTTGAGTACATTCCACTTGTTACATTGTGGATGCAAGTTACTTATATACACTTAAAACTGTTACCAATCAAAAAAGGAAGAAAACATTGCTCCCCATGGACAACAGAACAATGGCAAAACTAATTGAGTTGAATGCTGAATATGTCACTGTTCGACCCGATTCTTTGCAGGTTGGATTGGGGTTAACAGCACTGCTAAGCAGGAGAAATATAAAGCATGAAAAGAGGCAATCTGTGTCAGAAGCTAATATTACTATTGCATGTATGTCATTGTTCAACCAGATTTTTGACAGGTTGGATCGGTTCACTGCATTGCTAAGCAGATATAAAGCATTATATAGGCGATCCCTATCAGAAAGTAATATTAGCAATGTACGTTCATTATTTCTAGGCCATCGCTAGGACGAAGCCATTAATTGCACTCTCCGCGAAGCACAAAAAGAGCGATCTGTATCAGAAGGTAATATTAGTGGTGCATGTTCACTGCATCCGACCTATCGCTAGTTTGCGGTCACGAATTGCACTGTGTGAGAGAAATCCTTGATTCCACACTCACGAAGATTCTGCCAGAAGCAGTGAAGTAGAAGTCAACAACTGATGGATAAAAGAGGCTAGGCATAAAGTCCCACGAAAACCAGAGTTGCTAGAGACGAGAGAAGGAATCAAAGCAACGGGATAGAGCCCAAAGAGATGGGAGAAAACCCAAACAGGTGAGACAAAGCCCAAGTAGGCAACAAAGCCCAAAGGATCTTTCAATCTAGGTGAAGGAAGCTGAGCAAAAGACTCAGAAAACAAAGCCAAGGGATTGACTTAAACTTGGTACCCTGGGGAAATCAGACTTACATGCTCCAAATTCAAGACTTATCTCAAGTCAAGGATTAGAAACAGAGTGTTAAGCTTGAAACTTACAACATGAACTCAAGCCACATATTTACCTCATTCAGAACCTTGGGGGAAACAGAAGATCATTAAACTTGTGGACACAAATCAATGCTTGGCAGACACCACAAAGATAATCTGATCTCTCACACACGCCATTTTCTTTGCATCAAAACTTTAAGGTCGAGTCATACCTTTCAGATATGTGAGACTTGTTTCAGATAAAGGACAATACACTTTTGAATGCCACAAGAAACAGGTGAAAATGATCGCTGTTGAAAAGTTACAAGAAAAATAGTGAAATTTTAATCAAATGCCAATCTGGTCCACCACGTGCAAACATGCAGTATCACAAACAACAACACATATTTGCATACACAGAGAAATTTTTGCATACAAATGTGCAGTATTGTGTATGTACATGCTGTTTCACAAAGTAAAATGCAATTTTGCTACCAAATGCAGTTTGATGCTGTTTGGATGTCCAGAATGCAGCTCATTTTAGTGCCACAAAGGGGTTTTGGAGGTCAAGACTACAGTTTTGGCCACACTCAAAGCGCGTGTGGCATGTCGGATTGTGGCTACACAGGATGGGATTGTGGGCACACAGGATGGTGCTATCCAAGCCCCAGCATGCTTATAACATTGAGACTCCAAATCTCGCACGAAGGTCCTTTACAGATGATGCTCAGCTTAGTCTTGTTTAAGAATGACGGTTTTCATACTCAGAAAAGTTAAACAGACATTCATACATGGGATACATGTGCGGATGCCTGAAGTGGAGGAACGTGCCCTCTTTATATAGAAGATGGAGGTTCAAATCCGTTAAAACACGCATATGCATGTGTGTGAAGAGGAAGTGAGGAGAACAAATTCATTGCTGATGTTAGGAGATGGAGGTATACACTTGTTGTGGGTGTTTTGAATGGATAAGGATGAGGGATGAGGGATGAGATGACATCATCATAATGTCACCAGAGCAGAATCAGAAAGAAAGATGACGTTGATGATTACAGATTTTCTATAGTCATAAGCTACACATCGATAGCCCAAATCTCGAATTGACAAAGTCAAGCGGTAAATAATCGATCATTATGTCCCTCCAACATTTGCAATGAAGAGAATTGGCTTTTCGTTGTGCTGGCTATTAGTAGTTGCTATTCTAATTTTTCCTATTTTCCGTAGGAAAATAGTGAAAATATGCTCCGTTAAGGAGTATGATGAAAATATGCTCCGTAATGACTAATGAACCTCCATCGTTTCAGAATCTGGTGCCTACATCAAAGGTAGGCCTGGCAATGGATAGGGTCACCTCGCCCGGCCATGAAAATATAGGACCAGGGCCACAAAATGTTGCCTGAGGGTCAGGCATGGGCCAAGCCATGACAAGGCAGGGCTGGGCCCATGTAGTATCTTTTTCAAATTTTTTTAAATTCTTTTATTTTTTCTAGGCTCTGGCCAGTCTGGGCCTAGGGACTTGAGCCCCAATTGGGCCGGGATCGGCTTGGGCCAAGGGGTCATCGTAAGGCAGTCGCATTGATTTTGCAACAAGAGATTCGATGTAGAGCG